AAGCGTGCATTATAAATAGAAAACAAACATGTCAAAGAATGTTAATTCATTCCCCACCTACTCATGTTAAATAGCAGCAGATCCTTGCTTTCTTTATTTTTAATTTTTTGCTCGGTTTCGCCGCCTGCCTCAACAGAGGGCTGTTGCTTGTGTTAACAGCCATCCTGAATGGTGCCGGGGCTGGGGAATCTCTTGATTAGTTGCAAGCAAGGCCTGAATTAAATCTCTGTGATTCGGGTGTAGTTGTGCATCGTGCACGTAGGTTGGGTTATATTTCTTTTCCGGTAGTAAAGCGTAGAGTGCGAATTTGCATCCTTTCGCTCTCCCAAGTTTGCAAGGCGGGGTGGAAGGAGGGAGGGAGGTTTGCAAATTTGATTATGCCTCTGTGGAGTGTGGGAAGAAGACCCCCTCAGGACATTGAATGGAATCCTTTGATCTGACACACTGGCAAACCCCCCCCCCCATAATTTTTAAAAGACGGGTGAATGTTAAGTGGTGAATCTGCTGGCCTAGAAACTAGGAGAGTGGGAGTTCTAGTCCTGCCTGATGCATGAAAACAAGCTTGGTGACTTTGGACCAATCACCAGGAGACTGGGAATGCTAGTCCCACTTTAGGTACAAAAACTGACTTTGGCCAGTCCTCCAGGACATTGGGAGTTCTAGTTCCGCCTTGGGAATGAAAACCAGCTTGGTGACTTGGATCAATCATCAGGAGACAGGGAGTTCTAGTCCCACCTTAGTCAGGGTGGCTATTGGGGTGGGGGGAAGGAGGAGGGGGGGTATGATATTTAGCCATATTAACATTACTTTCAGCCTTTCAAATGTTTCTTGGGCAAGAGATGATTAGAAAACAGAACAACGCACCAAGTCCCTCTGGAATCACCGCTTTGAGTGATTTGTAAAAAATAACAAAGGCAGGGCACAAATGAATAAATACAAGACACAAGTAAATGTTTAGTCACTTTCCCTGCCACTTTCAAGGGTGCAGTTCAAATCTTCACTCTCTGCTGAATGTGTAAATTGGAGCCGAAAAGTGGAGATGGCTAAGTTTCGTTCCATATATAGCCTTGTGGAGTCCTTCTGTTTCACAAACTTAGAATACTTAAAAGGAGGTGTGTGTGTGTTAGTAATGGACTTGCAAGGTTGTGTGAGGACAATTAATTTATCCAGTGTTTTATGCGCTGTTTTGGAGGGCCGTGGAAAAGTTTCTTCAGAAAGTTGGAGTTACGGATGAGATTGTGGTTGGCCCTGTGACAAAACATCGGAGAGAGGGGAAAACATCTCACCTTTTCAACTTTCAGGCAAAAGGTGGGGTAATACAGGTAGTTCTCGACTTACGACAAAAATCGAGCCCAACATGGTTGCTAACGGAGACAGTGAAATGAATTTTGCCCCGTTTCATGACCTTTCCCGCTGCGGTAGTTAAGTGAAACGCTCCCGTTGTTAAACTAGTAACATGGTTGTTAAGTGAATCTTCTCCCTTCGATTTCGCTCATCGGAAAGTCGCAAAAGGGGATCACTTGACCCGGGGACAATGCAACTGTCATAAATACGAGTCAGTTGCCAAGCATCCGGATTTTGATCACATGACGGTGGGAATTCTGCAATGGTTATAAGTGTGAACAACAGTCCAAAGTTACTTCTTTCAGTAATGTCTTAACTTTGAATTGTCACTAAATGAACTGCTGTAAATAGAGGACTACCTGTATTCCCCTATCCCAACCATGTAGTCCTCAACCTATGACCGTAATTGAGCCCACAGCTGCAGTTGTTAAGCAGATCACCATATGACCACGTCCATTTTTATGATCCTTTACATTAAGCTAAATCAGTGTTTCTCAACCTTGGCAACTTGAAGATGACCGGACTTCAACTCCTAGAATTCCCCAGCCAGCATTCGCTGGCTGGGGAATTCTGGGAGTTGAAGTCCGGACATCTTCAAGTTGGCAAGGTTGAGAAACACTGAGCTAAACATGGTTCGCTATGAAGGGGGTTGTTTGTTTTTTTGCTCGAAGCCAGAAATACATGCTGGTTTTTATGGTAAAATTGTGTAAATTGTGGTCTTGTGACTGTAAGACGCTGCAACCGGTCGTGGCATGACATAAGCGCAAACGTCAAAAGCGCGCCGACAAAACTGCGGCGCAAAAACCGCAATGTCAAAAGCGCGCTGACAACAGCGCACCGACAGAA